TTGAGCAAACGCGAGGTGTTATTATTCTTTGTTCACGAATAAGCTGACGTTTCGGCGGATTTCGCCTTCCTCAGAGCCTGAAAAGGTCAAGTTGACAGCATTCTACTCGGCCAAACACCTCCATAACCAAAGAGAGAAAACGCTAAACCAAGATTTCAATCACATTTAGCATAGCTCTGCACACTCACCGCTTTCTATGAGTCTTCCACTGAGTATGTCGCGTGAAGAGCGACCGCACAGAATTCACATGGAAGCGTAATGTGCCCCTCCCATCAGAATAACAGGTTTATATACTGTCCAATACCGCGCGTGATAACGAGGCACTCCTCCCTGCGGTTCATTTTCGGATTCTTGGAATTAATCCAGAATACCTCCAGAGTTTTGCGCACTTGTGTTGTCGATTCTTGCGCGAGGATCGTAACCCTTACTTCAAAATCTTCTCCGTTATGTTTCTGCGTGTTATGCATACCTAGTGGAGTACTTAGCTTACGTTTGCCGGCTAGGTGTTCTTTTATACGTACGCAGAGTGGTCTACCCGTTTCGCCAATGTATTCGTCACCGCACGTCTTACAGGAGATCAGATAAACTATACCCGAGCTCATCCAATCACCGTCTCCACCACTGGGGCAAATTATGCAATTTTGCGTTGCACATAGACGGTCGTATAGGCGGTTAGGAACTAGCTGGCGCCTTAGATTATTCGGTGGTATTTCGATTATCGTTACCGTTTCTATCAGGAATCCCAGCTAAGGGTAAGCCTGTATTAGGATCTGCCACCGTCCTAATATCAAAGTAATCGCATTGTGAGAAATCTCCCTCTGATCCACAAGGGCGGTGGCTGCGTATAGTGGTGACGACCTAGAGTAGTCTTTAGCTAGGTTGACCTCCGGACTCCAGGAAACTTACATAGCTAAATCAGCAAAACTCTGAATAAAAGTGGAAATCATGGTGGGGCCCGCGCAACTAGTGAAGACGGGCCGTCCAAGTATCCGAGTAAGTAATCACACATTCCTCGTCATGAAAGTCGTAGAAGTTTTGTTCACTCTTCTTGCTATATTTTTTGGGTTGCAGTAACCTTTTTTGGGCAGTGGCACTAAACATCTCTAACTATTGTTTCAAACTAAGTAACCCAGGCTAATAATATCCATCGTTTTTGGGAATATTTCTCTTCCTAAGTCACTTTCACTTTATTGAATGATTTTGCTTTGTTCAGGAAGAGGACAATGGTAATGTTTCGGATGATGAAGATGTCGTTGATGAGGACGATCTGGAAGACGACGAGCAATTATTCGTTCCACAACCACCAACTCCAGATCTGCTGAAGAGTACGAGGAGAGGTCGAGGTGGGTGTATGTCTACTACAAAATTTATTTAGTTAGAGAACTAAACTATTGGTTTGTTCTGTAGCTTATGAGGCGTTCTGATTTAAGTGGTTTATTTAGCAAAATTTAGCCCTTAAGGTTTTATTATCTTCTTTTTCCCGTTTCCCAAGTACTGTGTAACAGTTTTGGTTATATAGACATTGTTTGGAATGTTCCTTGCAAATCGAATATTTCGAGGCCGATGAAGTATTTAGATTTAGTTTTTTATTCCTTTTTGTATATATGAGGAATAGATAGAAAATGATAGTTAGGACTCTGATCATCTTAGTGATATGCCAAACATTAGACTGCATTGATAGTATCACAGGATGTGATTAAATGCATAGTTTACTTCCTAATGAATGATTTCTGTTGGCTTATCTTACCGATATATCAAGTTGGTCCGAGATGTGGAATCGAGCCAGTGATCATGGCACCTTTAAGCATTCCGTTACGCGACCTATTATCTACTGCTATTGTTCTACTAATTTCTTGTTTTTGAGATGTTTCTGTAATGTTGTTCCTTCTCTGAAGTTATCTGCATTGTATATATTGTAGCAAAGTTTTGTTTGAGATTTTACTAGCTAGATATGAAACAATGGTAGTAAGTGTGTACTGTGTAATAAAAAGGATAAAGCTCACGGCGTTGATCAATCCCTGAGGGATGCGCCATGCGTTCGACTTCATTAAGTATCGTTAGAGGTGATTGAATGCATATCTGGTCTTTACAATGACTCGCGGTGGCCTACCGATTACCGAGCCAGTGCTCCTATCCACCCAGATAAGTCTGCTACCAATTTGCCGACCGCGGAGGGATTGAAAGCTTGGTGGGCCATAGGCGCGGAGATCGATTCCACGTGCGTGTTGCAGTGGCGCCTCCAACCACTGCGGACACGCGCTCTATAGTGTGTAATAGTACGTGTTATTTAAGGGATTTGGTGGCGAAATGAGTCTATTTTTGCCTTTCCAAGTGTAATTTATAAAACTTTTTAACAGAACTGTTCCAGCAATTCATTGGCAAGCAGATGTAATCAGTTGGTATGCAAATGACACGTGACCAGTGCAAAAATGAAACTTGTAAGTAGGAAGCTACCTGAGAACCCAACTAAGGAGAACTTTCATAGCATTGTAAACGCTCGGAATTAACGTGAAATATTAAGCAATATTCAATTTTGGGTCTAGACATTGCTTTAAACCGTTGCACCAAGCAAATTAACAGCGATTACATTCACAATGACGCTGAGATATTTGCAAAACTCCGGACCCAGGTGTCTGCGGTGGAAATCGAACGCGCTTTTACCTTTTTTGGGGCTAACTCGTTCACCACTACACCATGCGCTTCCTTCGTCTCGCCTTTCTGTCTGCTAGTTTTCCTTCTATCAATGCCATTTGGAATTATATGTCAACGGGATTGGTCTGGGGAGCACAAAACGGCATTGAACCCAGTTAAACTGATGTTGTATCGAAATTACAGCGTTTTTTATTTTTAATTTTATTTTTTTATTTTTTTATTCCTACTACAGTGTTTCACGGCAGGGTATTATGTAAAATGAAATTGAAAATTGTTGTGGGTAGTAAATAAACGAGTTTCTTTTCCCTAATTTCTCTTGATTAGTCTGTCAATTAAGCTGTGGAAGTCTTTCAGAAACTACTAAACGGTGTTTTCTATAGGCGATGAACGTCCTACCAGCTATCAGAATTCTCCAGAAGATCCGAAGCGGCGTTTCGAGAAGAGCGATCGTCGTGAGAAGCGACGGAGCTACACGACAAGCATTCTGATATCGCCGCATGCTGAGAGGCCGATGCCTATCACCAGACAAAAGTCAGTGACGTTCTCTGCAAACGAGAAGTTGTGAGAAAAAAAGCCACTAGATGTTTCTTCATGTGGTTCTCCATTTGCTAACTATGTTGGTGGAAACTAAAAGGTGGTCGACTCGTAACAAGAAAGTTGTTAAGATTAAAAGTTGGAGATAAAGGACGAAAAATCAGTTGTATACTCTTGTCACCTTATGCGAAACAGTAATGATATTGTAAACTCTTTCCGTCTTCATGGTGTAATTCGTAATTTGATGCTTGTTTGGATTTAAAACTTAATACATTTACTTAAAAAGCTTTCCGATCGAACGCGTTGATGTCATTGAAAAATCTACTCACAGTGGCTGCCTGAGATCAACTCTATATAACCAAAACTTCTATTTTCTGAAGTCCTACGTTATTTTCTCATGAGTTGTCATCAATTCATCACTAACTGGATAACTAATTTATTTGCCTAGTTGCCTATTTCCTTCCTCCTTTACATGGTTCTCTTACCGACTTATTAGTTAGAAAACTAATGATGAATTCTAGAATTGTAAATAGAGATAATGGGCAGAAATTTTGACCATAAGAAGGTACTTCATTGTTTTATCCTAGTAGAACTGTCAATCTCCTCAAATGTCCTTTTACTTTGTTGATTTCGAGTCATTCCTTTTTATTGTTTTCTATAGTTTTTTTCTTCAAAATAGTTTCGTTTCATGAAAACCCATTTTCATTACTATAATTCGTTTTTTTTGTTATTACGTTGAAGTTATTTTCGTAATTTCCCGTTCTCCGTAAGTGAAAATGGTAGTTGAGTATGAAAACAAGTGGAAAGATGAGTGGTTGACGAGCAAACAGACCTGGCTAAATGAAGAACAGCTAAATTTCATATTTTTTTTTAGATCACTTGGCGAAAATACTGCATTTGGTCTTACAGATGATGACATCACCGTTAATATTTCAAAGGTCGGGATAGTAGAAAATTATTCGTATTTAGAGCAATACCATTCACTTCTTGATTATTCCAGGGTCAACTATTAATCGATAACAACAAAGGTGGTAAACTTGTTCAACGACGGAAATCATACAAAGGTGTTCCTTGCCTTGATCTTAATTAAACTGCGAGTACTGTAAGACACAGTAATCGCGACCATTACAGAATATTCCACTCAGGATCTCAACTGTTCGTCGAATTGCAATAGAGAGTGTTCTGAAAACTCAGCACACATCATTAATTTGCACAATGCTGGCGACTTATTTCCGGGCACTGAACAAGACGTCTCTTACGTGTAACTTCTACAAAATAGCTTTAGAATTTTTTTCCAGAAAAGGAAATCATGCAACAACAACATTTCTTCTTAGAGAAAGGGATGCTTGAATGCATTCTCGAATCTTTCTTCTTTCAAACAAAAGTCGAATGTAATTGTTTAAGTTCGGATATTCGGTCAAATGCAGAGGATTTGAGTGGATCTTTCTCCTAAAAGCGTCACTTAAATAGCTTTGGCTGAACAAAAAATAAAGAGAGAAGAAAATTCATCTGAGTATATAATGAATTACTCGGATCGTCAAATTTTAATTCTATTAGGAAAATATCAGTTGCGATTTTTCTTGCTACAATAGTCGAATGCTCGAAAAACTCCGGAATCCTACATAGTTATTGTCATAGATAAAAGTTCCTAATACTAGCTTGTTTTTTGTTGTCGACTAAGCGATTGATTTGTTTCTTCGATTATTCGAAAGTCTGGTAGCTTTCTCAGCACATAAATCAGAAACCGAAATCTGATTTATTTTGTTTCTTTCTGTTGTCACAAAATCGTACTTGCTAGATATCATTGGTAGGAACTCCTGAAGAATATTCGGCCGAAACCCCAGATGACAATTTTCGCGCGCCTATAGATAATAATATTAGGGTACAATTTTTTTACTACAGAAAACACAGAGAGCTATTAATTTAACCATTGATGAATCAAATGCCATGTTATTTTGATCATTTCATTTTCACTATTTCTACGTCGTCATCATCTGGATTCGTTATACCTTTTTTTGTTCCGTTTTCACCCTTTTCTTCGTGAAAATATTTTTAAGAGTTTCATTGGGTGTACATACGATTGCTATCGACTTTATTTCGTTAGCATCATTGTTTTTTTAAATATATAATGTTCTTCGATATCGTTTATCAGAATAAACATCTTAATTTACGAAACCTATCAACGTTTGTGACTTCTCAGATATGGTAAAGTAAAGAATCCGAGATAAAACGCTGACTCTAATTTTTTCAGAAGGTGACACTCTGGCACTTTCCGCAGAAGAGTTTCTGTGTGGGAAAAACAATGATGGAAATAGCGTGAACTGTTATCACGTGAAAATTATAGATGTATTGAGATAGGCGTAAAAGTCGGATTAATAAACATGGACAAACAGTAAGTTTTCCATCCCATAGTGACTGCGAGATGTTTCTGAATGTAGCGCTGCGAAGCAGTTCATCTCTTCTCAGGGATTCCCAAGTTGAGAAGGATTCTGACGCTTACAAACGGAAGCCCAGCTGAGAGAAAACCAATGCTAGCACCAAAAGTCACCACCAACCCGGCGTCAAATTAAACTAAGGGGGGCAAATGCAAATCACCCTCTGAACTACAAGAGCGGAGACTGTCTGGATGGGGGGAACGATCTGAGGAAGACCGGCTGACCTCGGGAGTTCAGGGAACTACGACGGTCAAACAAATCATCAAAGAATGGAAACTGTGCTGCGGCTGCGGGCCATCCGCATATCCAAGCAAGTAAGCTGGATAAAAAAAATAAATGAACAGCTGTATTAGTATAAAAAGATAATCTAAAGGGTAAAGGTTTACACCGAAAATAAGAGAGAAAGTCATGTCCTGAATGCCATGGCGAAAACGAATGATTTTGAAGTAAAGTCGACCAAGAGCTTTTGAGACTACAAAGCAAACGGAATGCTGTCTCATTTGCTCAAGAAAGATTAATACGTGACATGCTCGTATTTCTACTCTCATAAAAATTACACGCTCCAATGAAGTGAACAAAATCAATGAGCCTTCACTGCTCTCTCCTTCCATCTCGCGTAAGTGAAGCGTCACACGAGACCTAAACGAAAAGTGTTTAGCAAGTTCCTGCCTATCAGAGACCCCTTTTCGGCAAACTACTTGCAATAACCCACGAGCTCCGGACGTCATAGTGTAATTTCGTGAATTCGAGCATACATAGGCGCCATAAAATATACGTCGCAACACTGAGGAGTTTACCATTGTTAGTAATCAGGTGCATATTTTGAGATTGCAATGCAAACGGAATGCTATCTCACTTATGCAAATAAATTTGCTAGGTGACCTGCCCGGGTTTCTACTGACAAGAAAATTGCATGCCCCGATATAGTGAACAATATTAGTGAGCATTCACTGCTCCCTCCTTCCATTTCGCGTTAGTGAAACGTTACCCGGGACCAAAACGAAAAATTTTGGTCAAGTTTCTGCCTGTGGGAAACCCCTTTCCGGGGAACCAATTGCGATAACCCACGAGCCCCCGACGTAACAGGGTGATTTTTTCAATTCGTACATATTTAGGCAACATAAAATCCATGTCGTATAACTGAGAGGTGTACTTTTACCGGGTGCATATTTTGAGAATGCAAAGGAAAAGGAACGCTGTGCACATGGGCACGTATACACGAGTTGAACAAATCACACTGTGAGGTCAGTAGCAGTTATGGCAAATCGTTCTCCGGAAAGTGGTTTCCCATAGGCAGAAACTTGACCAAAATTTTTCGTTTTGGTCCCGGGTAACGTTCACTAACGCGAAATGGAACGAGTTAGCAGTGAATGTTCTTCACTACATCAGGGCATGCAATTTTCTCGAGAGAAGAAATACGGTAAGCTCACGTAGCAAATTTATTGGCGTAAGTGAGGGAGCATTCTGTTGGCGTTGCAGTCTCAAAATATGCTCCCGATTGCCCACAAAGGTAAACGCTTTGATGATACGACGTGCACATTACGGCGTCTATATATGAAAGAATTGAAGACAACACAATGCGAGGTCCGGTACTCCTGGGTTATCACAAAAGGTTCCACGGAAACGGCTGTCCCATAGGCAGAAACTTGAATAATACGACACAGTTTGGCCCCTGGTAACGTTTCCCTAACGCGAAATGGTAGGAGGGAGCAGTGGAGGGTCACCTATGTTGTTCACCACATCGGGGCACGCAATTTTTCGAGAGAAGAAATATGGTCAGGTAACAAAGCAAATTTATTGGCGAAAGTGAGAGAGCATTCCGTTTACGTTGCAGTCTCGAAATATAAACCTGATTGCCAGCAAAGATAAACTCCTCTACGATACGACGTTCTTGTTACGGCGTCTATATAGGCACGAATTGATAAAACCGCAGTGTGAGGTCCGGAGCTCGTTGGTTAACGCGATTGGTTTCCCGTAAAGGGATTCACATAGGCAGAAACTTGACCAACTCTTTTCTCCTTCGTCCCTGGTAACGTTTCAGGAACGCGAAATGGAAGGAGGGTGCAGTGAAGGGTTACGTATGTTGTTCACCATATCGGGGAATTCAATTTTCTCGAGTGATGAAATATGGTCAGGTCACGAAAAAAATTTATTTTCGAAATTGAGAGAGCATT